ATTAATCTTTTTATATAAGAAATGTCTTTTTTTGGTTAGCATTATCTAACCAAAAAAGACATACGTAAAGACAGACACTTTGCATAATCAAACTACCCACAGTAGGCCAGCGTGGTCATCCCTGACTAAGGGTAGGTTTCAAGCCCCTAAGTGCGGACGCATAGTGAGCTGTTGACGATTAATGTTATTGCAGCGGTTTTCTATTTAAAATATAGTAGGTGTTCAGTTTTAAAGAGGATACACAATACTTTGAAGCTTACCAAGATACAAGAAATGTGCGATTAAATGGGTTTTGAAAATCTATGTACGTTTGTTTTTATGAATTTTAGTAATTCCACATTGTTGTTTACTTATTTAATTAGAAGCTGAATGTTAAATATTATTTACCATAATCTTTTTAAAAAAACAAGCATAATTCTGTCACTTTTTACCGAACGTATGTTACTGTCCTAATAGTACAAGGTCATGGCAAACTATGACGCATAGTACTTACTATCTAATCGTTAGATTAAAAAAATGTTTTTCATTTGATCAACTTAACTGGCGTGGTTAATTAACCGATCGATGTTATACGTATGAAAACTTACCAACATATTCATAACGTTTCTATTTTCTTTATAAAGGCCAAGGTGAACTTAAAATATAAACAAAACAATGTTGGCATGTAACAAATTGCGCGGAAAGCGGCTACAATTTGGTAGCATGAGTCAGTTGCTATCTTTCTCCCGGTGTCTGGGTCGCATATGGTACGAAATTACTCACGTAAAAATAATGACTCATTCAAGCAGGTGGTTGATATCAAATAATAAAAGATATTTTAATTTGTAATCTATTTAAAACTTCTAACATACTAGCTGTTGTCCGAGGCTAAGTCCGGGATAAAAAAGCTGGGATATAGCACCCAGGGATAGTGTAGCTTTCTAACAGTGTAAAATTTTGAAGCGGTTCAGTACTTTCAAAAGCCTTTTCAATGCAAAAAACAAACAAAAATACAATTAAAACTTGAAGGACATAGTTAAACATTTTTTAATTTAGTTAAATCAAGGAACAATAAAAGTATTTTCCCTGACCGACTGTGTTCTCTCCTGTCCTGACTGTGTCTATCCCTTGACTGTCACACAGTCAGGTTTAATGAACTACTTTTTTTAGTATGAAATATATTAATGCATGAAAATAATCTGATTAATTTCAAACTACCATCGATTCCAGTAAGGATGTAATCTTTTTCAGTTGTCCAAAAACAAACGAAGACACATTCTAAATTTAAAAATGACACAATTTAAAAAGAATTGTTTCCAAGGAGACAGTACACAATGGCCTGTTTATGTCATTTTAGTTTATAGCCTTCTTTATATGCAGGATAATGCGTCAGTCGATTTTCCTCGCGCCTCCCCACGTCACCGTGACGCGGCGCTAGTGAGCCACGCGTGCTCGCAAGGAATTTTTATTCTCTGACGCAAGGAATGACCCGGACTGAACCTTTACTAATAGGATTTTTCCTCGCGCAAATTCATATGAACATTACGATTATTTGTTTACTAAGTAAATGTTAATAAATAGCACGTGGTTACATAATAAGTACGTCAAAGTCGGGCAAAAAGTGAAATTGTTTACACGTATAGTTCTATTTAGATGTATATCGATACTGTGAGTCCCCGCAGTCAGATATGTATAACACAATTTCCTTTTTGCTTATTATCTTAGAAGGAATAGAGAAAGTTGAAATCCATGTTTTTTTTTTTAATACATAACTAAAATTACATTTAAAGTATATCAAAAATGAAGTTAAGATATACATGAATTTACTAATATAATAAATGCGAAAGTTTGGATGTTTGTTTGAAGGTGTTTCTTGAACAGCTTAAGGGATCCCGCTGAAATAAGGCGTAGCTGAACATAGCCTGGAACAACACATAGGCTACTAATTAAGTTTTTAATTCCATGCGGACGATTTCACTGGCAAAAACTATTACGATATATTTAACCTGAGAAAAAATATTTAATTGTTATTTAAAATTCAAAACAAAAGGGCCTATTGCATATAGTACATATTACAAAATTTAAACAATGACACACCCCTCTCACATATGATTAAGAACTATGACGCATCGAAGCGTTTCCGAGTTGCAGTACCGAGTAACTCTTTGATGTAACCGACGGGTTCAATGCGGAACTAAACTACTTCGAAGACTATTACTTTAAATTGAAAATAAGATTTTAATGTACATTTATTTATTTTACAAGTGATAAAGTCATAAAAAAATTAACAAAGATTAATACGGTTTATCGCGACGCAGATTAATCATAATCAATGAAATCCGCCTGAAGAGTGGTTTACAAACATTTGATATTTATGTACTTACTAGCTGTCGCCCGCGACTCCACTCGCGCGGAATTAAAAAAAAATACGAATTACTAGCCTATGTGTTCTTCCAGACAATGTTCTATGTCTATGTCAAATTAAATCGAGATCTGTTGAACCGAGCCAAAGTACCTTCTAACAAACATCCATCTAAAATGTCGCATTTATAATATTAAGTTATTTTAATATACAGTTCGACTGTATACACTTGATATTCGTTTTACACATCATCCTGGTCAGCTTATTGCGAGATCTAAATTCTCCACCCGATACACAGTTCAAACAATGACACACCCCTTTTGCAAGAGATAAGAGGGAGCTGTGACGCATAACGCACCGGGGATGCAGTTAATGCCTGACTCACTCGCCTGACTCATTTGGTGCAAATGACAGGATCGCTTGTTTGATATATATGTTACGAACAAATCTTGAACGCCGTCCGTTTTTAATTTGCCTAGATAAATCGTTAAAAGAAGACAAATTGCCAATGTAAAGAATTCATTCTCAAATGGAAAATATTTCGACATTTTGTAAAGATTTTGACTCAAGATATAATTTCAAGCGCTGATTGGTCGTGACACTTTATTGTATTATGACAGACCAGCCACGAATTGTGGAAGTATACTTGTCTTTGTATATTCGTTTAATAATAAATTTGTCGATTCTGTACAATACGTCCAGTCAGAATAAAAAATGTTGGTATTCAATATTTGGAGGTTACATATCGATGCGCTAATTCGAACGCCTTGTCTCTATTGTAATTGAGGCTTTGTCGTAAATATGAATTAGCTTAATAAATATTCATTGTATTGTTCATTCATTTAATTACTAATCAAATTCACTGAACTTTTGTGGATGAGTAATAAAAATTATAGTAAAATTCTTTCGTTATTAACATGATAATTATATTTTTCTTTGACTATTTTAATAATTATTCTTTGGAATCATTTAGGCTCGTATATAAGGTCGTTCGTACACGAGTCAACGTAAATCTTCCAAGTCCTTCAATTTTAACTGGCATTAGCAACCGTACTATATTAGTTTCAAAGATTTACATTTCTTTGTGTACAAGGGCCTAAAATACTTCTAATGTAAATCAATATTAGTAAAGAGGGAAACAGATTTATTTTTATTGTAAAGCTAACTAAATATAGTAGCATCTAGTTGAGTCAGTATACTAAAAAGGACTCATGTGGACTGGTGTCGGGTGGACGAGTGACCGAGTTCGTCGTTCAGATTGTAATCGCTCGAGTTGAATGACTTCCTATGACTCAGTCGGCGCAATACGCATGCGTGATCTTGTGAAGGTGAACAACGTTCTTATGTTTACTTCCACATATTTTATTTATTTACTTGTTAAACACGTACATAAAGAGGATTTAAGTCACATTGAGTGTACATTAAGTGACTGGCGATTTTCAGAGACAAATTTTATTTCTTGCGAATTAAAACTATTCGATTTTTGAATTTAGAATTTTTTAAATTAAAAAGCGCTTCCGTTATTGTAATCTGCTTTAAAAAATTATTGAAAAGTTACCTCCCAGTTACGATTTATTTAATAATTTTTAAGTTTTTAAATTTACTTTTCTAACAAATAATACGACAACTACACGAAACTGTTACTTGAAATAGACACTCATAAACTTATTACTGTTACGCTATTACTAATTATATTGATATAGAAACTATATCTGTATTCAAATAAAAAGTAAGAAAAAAAAACGCAGACGAATTGATGAACCTTCTTATTGAACTCGGTTAACAAAAAAAGACAATAAAATTCATTTAATTTTAATGAAATATCGATTGAATATAATATGAATAAAAGTTTATTATAAAAGTGTACATATGTGCCATCTGTATAAATTGACACGATATGAATCATCGCTTAATAATCGCATTTCACTGTTCATTTACGTCATAAGCATGAACTCGGAAGGTCAAACGTAACTTGGCAATGATGATTGTATGATTGTGTATAATTTCATATACAATACGTTGTTTTTATAAATTTTAAAGGATATTTAAACTGTAAGGAAAATATTTCTTTTCACTTTTATGAGTAATTCAGTATCATTTTTGTGATTAATGAGGTTTTACGTTCTAACCTCTAAAAACTTTGTAGGACTAAATACTGAGATTAAAATAAATTGCTGGGGTTTTGTCGCGCCCTCAGTATATTTTCCTACTTGTATGTTTCACTAAAACTTATAACAAACTTCGTTCACAATACGTCCAGAAATGAAGTAGAAGAAATTGTTTGATTGATTGTATTGCTTCTTTGCACTAGAATGTATTTATTACGACAGCCAAGACTAATAGAGAAGAATCTTGCAATAGGCAACGAATAGAAACTTAAAGGGTACTCTTTTCTTAGTAGATATCAGGTGGGGCGGGGCACGTTGACTTTGTTCGGTGCAACGTACCACGACCACGCCGAAGACAGGCCTTAGACTTAACTTTTACATAGGAATGTGATATATTCTCATTTCTCGTTCTCGTTCTTTTCACCATCGCTTAAAGGTGGGCAAAGCAACTGCACTTGCGGATATCTGTAGCGGTTGCTTCGCTATAAAAAGGGGCGTAGGTATATTGTTTTCATTAGCATATGTCCAGGCTGATGAATGATGTGACTTACTTTAGGAGCAGATATCTCGTGGAACGAGCTTGGTCTCGGCGCCGGCCCGGCCGCCACGCAGTCCACGGGCACGCTGTAGTCTGCACACAGCGCCGCCTGTAAATACATTAGTTATTAATAACTAGCTGATGTCTGGGACTAACATTTATTGCGAGTCACTTCCAGTTACAGATAGGGAATGACCCATCACATCCTCTTATAGAAAAATAATATATCACAGCAACTGTTTAATTACAACATGCGTTGTAAAATATTGCTACCTAACATGATTTTAATTCACTATGAAAAATATACTACTCTTATTCCATCCATTTCTTACTAACCTTAAGTACATGTCATTTAATTATTTTATTATTATTTTATATTTTATCTTATTGATATTATAAATGCGAATGTTTGGATGTATGTTTATGAGAAGGTATCTCCAGAACGGCTTCACGGATCTCGCTAAAATTGGGCATAGATGTAGAACAAAGCTTGGAACACGTAGGCTACCAATGAGGTTTTTTTAGGCCCGCGCGGACGGAGTCGCGGGCGACAGTCAATAACTATATTGATTATGCAATAAGTTGTTTTTAAAACCTTCAATATTAAATTATTTTTATGTGCTGAAAGTATTTCGAATCATTAATTGTGATTACTTTTACTGAAACAACATTTTAAGGCGAGATTCGATTTAATAAACAAAACAAACATTTAAACGAAAAGAGTTAAAATTAATTATGCGTTGCTATCGTTTTGTTTCGCCCCTCGAAATTAAACTGGGAAAGTCGTTAATTATAATCTTAAGAAACATTGCCAAGTCAACAGTTCAAATGTCGCATAAACTCACAAGTTTTCGGCCGTGAAAATAGTCATAAAAAGCTTCTGTTGCGAGACTGTTTATTTCTTAATTTAATATAAACTTTATTTCATACTATCAGAACACAGCATAACACAATGCGCAAAACAAAACAACATCAGAAGTTTATAAAAATACAAAAGAAAACTTTGATAAATTTTCTAGGGCCACAAACCTTAGTAAGCGCTCAAAGGACAAAGTAACCAAAGTTTAGAAACCTAACAGTAGTTTAGAAAGTAGACAAACCTACATATTTGAATAATAATTAATTACTGTAACTTAATATTGAGGTTTTTGTTACTATATTGTAACTTAGCTTGTCGAATTAATGTAATAAAAGGTCTAAGAAAAATTAAGCAAGTCAGAAGCAAATGCGATAAGGCACGCCCCACAGATGTCGAGCACTTCGGGCATAGACTAAAAAAGAAATGAGAATACCACTAATAGATAAGATATTTTCCCGCATACTTGTGTATGCTTAAAACGCTAAATATAGTTAAAAAAATAATTAAGATTAACTCCCATTTATTTCTTAATTTTTACAAATCTTATATATAAAATTCTCTTGTCACAATTTTCGTTCCCATACTCCTCCGAAACGGCTTGACCGATTCTCATGAAATTTTGTGAGCATATTGAGTAGGTCCCCCTAAGTGTTAAGTTTTTTTAATTCCGCGCGGATGGAGTTGCGGGCGACAGCTAGTATATCTTTAAAATTAGATTTCCTTGGATGTCGCAATTTGGAACATCCTTTATCATCAACTGTCAATCCGTTCTTATCCCTACGGTGGGTCAACACAGTATGTACTATTCTTTCATACATCTCTATCAGCCGTCATATCTGAATCCACCCCCTTTTAACGCATATCCTCTTTCACACAATCCATCCATACTTTATGCAACACCCTGTATATTACAATATAATATCCATAACATTTGATAAAGCTTCAAATTTATTCATGTGTGACACAAATTGCGACCCATAGCTTCCTTTGTCGGTCACATAATTTTGTTAGATAAATTTGGACGTTGCACAAAGTTTTCATTACGCTTGACAGGGACCCATCAACATAGGATATCGTAAGGTTCATCGACCACAAAGAACATGCTATGCGTGGGGGGGGCGCATAGTTATGATATTGAGTTATGCAGACGGGATAGAGCCCCTATTATTATCGACGTCTGGCTATCTCAGATACCTATTTATCTGAAGTCTGGCTATTGATATATTAACCCTATGTTCTATTCTATACTTTATTAAGTCTTCAATGTGACATGTTCTATTAATTCCCTTTCTAGTATTATTTAAAATATTCGAAAATATTTACAGTTAAGAAACGAGATTAAAAACATAATATATCTCTGATTTAATTCCGTATAGGGCCCCCGATGGGCTCGAAACTAGTCGGTGCCGCCACCGGACGAATATACGTGAGTGTTTGGCCGTTATTATACCAGTTTAATATAATGTCTCACAAAAGATTCTCTTTGTCCTTATGCCTTCAGTTTTTGCTTATAGAATAGTCACCCCTCATTGTTAGGTCATCAGAAGTCACAGGTCAGTGGAGCGAATAGATAACGTTATCTGTAGCAGGGGCGATGTAATTGTTTCCCTAAAGGACCCGCGTCGACGGCACTTTAAGATATAAATAAATTCATTATAACTTGCAAATTAATTTTAAAGTTCTGAAATGAAGAAGTTAGAAGGAATACAATGATAAGAAATTGTCATGAGAAATGTCAAATTCCATAACAAGCGGCCGTTGATATTTTTTTTTTTTTTTTAATTATAGGATAAAGTGAAATTACTTTTTTTAATAAGTGATGTTGTATAAAAAGATGTGTTTAATTTGTTTTTCTCATTCACAAATTTAAGAGAAAAATGTTCGATTTCCCTGCATTGAAAATAATTTGGAAACAAATATTTATTATATTGTGTTAGGTAGAAAATCCGACACTGTGCTAATGTACCGGCACAACACTAGCCTTATTAAAATATCAACGTTTATGTCCCCTCACTAATCAATCTGACACTTGGTAATGAAAGCGCGACAATCGCGCCAAAGGATTCTAACTAATTATGTTTAAAATTGTAAAATAAACGATTTATTTAAAAAAAAACATAGCTGTAATGACACTAATACAAGTAGGTTTTTTTTTATATTGGCAGTGCCAAAGCGAAATGCATCAAGTTTTTATGTTCAAACAATCTTATCTGAGTACTTCACAGTTGATCACGATACGCAGCAAGAACAAAGGTAGCGGAATTAAAAGGGGAGTAAAGGGGAATTCCTATAGAATTCTATGTGGCTGAGGTCACGAACAATACTGTACGTTGGGGTGAAGGCGATTGAATGTGGTCCTGCGGCGAAGGGTCCGGTTTGTTAAAGTTTAAAATCACCGTTCAGGATGCACAACCAATGTCCAATTTAAACTAATACCATAGAAATAAAATGCAGATAATAATGTCTACCGAAATTACATTTTTCAGAAGTTTTAGTAGAATAAAAGATTCACGTTTGCACAAGCGGAATTTCTTCTTAGTTATTGTTTTGTTTGTTTCTCATGTTTGCAGCAATTCATGAAGTTTAGTTGTGTCAATGAAATATGACCTTCCTTTTACGTATTTTAAATTTATCATCACCCACTTTGCTTTGCGTATTTGGTCTACACCAATACAACTGAAAGATAAATCTCGGAACAATTTCAAAACAAACATAACAAAAGAAATATAAAATAATCAAATACGAATATCATTTATTCCAATTTTTTTATTTTATCTTTATTTAGAGTTTGCTTTAAATATACGCGGTAGCATTAATTGATACTTAATCCGTAAACTAGATATGTTCATAGCTCAAACATTGAATTACCTAAATGCACGCGCTGTGGTCTGTGGTCAAAGCCACTTTAACGCTAAAATCCATTAAATCCATTATTAAATCATGATCACAAAAGGTACGGAGGCCGTGTATGAGCAAAGCTGGTAATTGAATGAAGCTTGCTTTGTCTGTGGTCGGACGGGATATTGATAACTCACCTATTTCATCTGCGGTTATTTTCATTGATTTTATTACCATATTGATTTTATCACAGGGGGTTTCCATTGCCGAAATACGTGAAAATAATATCATCAATCTTGAAAAAAATGTGATTGTTCAATCAATTTACGCCTATGGGCGTATTAGTAATCTACACTATACACATATTCATTTGCTTCTTTGTTAACCCTCAAGAATTTGTTTTTAAAATTAAATTCGTGAAATTTATACCCAAATAATACACAAAATTTAGACGGATGCTATCATTGTCTCGGAAAACCAGAGATAACAATGTACTTTTTACAGATATGTTACGGCAGTGAAACTCAAAGTTAAGATTTTCGCATTAAAAGAAGTTAATGTTGACCTTACGTCAATTTGTTTTGAAAAGTGGTTATGGCGCTGGATTTCGCACAGCTTAGCGAGCGAGGGATGTAAGTGTCGTATCACTCACATTTATCAACATAATGGGGAACATTCGATATCATGCCACGCATCTGTTATTTATCACACTCACGCACTTTAGATTTTAAGATGTGTCATAGTTAAAAAAGATTGGTATAAAAGCATCAAGAATTAGGTTCAATAAAACTGCAAAGAATTATAATCAATGTATCAGCGGATTACTGTTTTTTATATCATAAGGTGGCAAACGAGCGAGAGGCCACCTGAAATCGCTGAAATAGCGAAATGACCGTTGCCCATAGACATACGCAATTGCATATGCGTTGCCTACCGTTGATCGACGGAGGAGAGGATGCACAGAAAGAAAATATTTTCCCTTTCCATGCATCCTTTCATCCGGAAAGTCCACTTCCACTTCCCATCCTTTCCTTATAAGAAAAAGGGTGGGAGAGGAAAGAGGACTAAATAAGGCGTCCGGGACGCACACTCATCAGACGAAACGCGGAATTGCTTCCACTTGACGCCTGTCTTCTGTGTGGTCGTGGTATTTCACCGGGCGAGCTGGGACAATTCGTGCGAAGATGTTAAAGCGGGCTCTACCACTCTTAAAATCTCTTTGTTCACAATGAAACTAATAATTGGAAAACAATTAAATTAAGAGTAAATTGCAGAAATTTGGCAATATTGGTACGCAAAATGTAAACCAGTGAGAAATAAAAATCGAACCCTGGTTGGTTTTAAAACTGATAAGAAATTAATTATAAAACATCCTCAAGCTGCCCTTATCCCTAAAGAGGGTCGGCACAGTA